AAAAAAAAAAAAAAAGCTTAAATCACTTTCATCAGTATTATATAACCAATATTTTAAAAGTTATGCTGAAAAGCCCAATGTTTTTATGAAAGTTTTTATGGGAAATTTATTTGCTGTTTTCAAAAATTGTAAAGCTGAATCATTTCTGTAAATTGTTTTCCATAGTTCCTGTTTTCTCAGTCATTAATTTCTAATTGTTTAGCTGCTTTCATTTTATTTCATTTTGTAAATAAATAAATAGATTTTAAATAGATTTTTAGTAATCTCTGTACCCAACATGGGACTTGAACCCACAACCCTGAGATCAGGAGTTGCATGCTCTACTGATGGAGCGCAGCTAGGCGCCCTTCAGCTGCTTTTAAAAATGAGCTAGAGTGCATTTTAGTGTGATGAAAAATGGCACTCTTTTCACTTTGCAAACTGCTGCCATATTTCAGAAAATTAGATGCTTTAATTTTTGGAAGTGGGAGTTGTCTCTAAACTACCTTTATAATATTTTCCTCTGGTACTGAATTTAATGATTTAATACACCAATACCTGCCTTCCGTGGACAAAGAGTTAAACTGTGTGGTAGTGGTTATACTCCTTGACATGTGGTCATCCATTGAGACAAGCGCAGCAAGAAACTCTTCCTGCCTAACAGGTGATGTTATAGTTCATGTGGAGGAAGATCATGTATTCATAAGCTCTGCTCATTTATTTATGTTCTGTTCTGTTCAGTAATTTCTGGTGGCTTGTAATGTCCCATAAATTATGACGAAATAGCCTAACTTAAAAGTGGAGGAAAAGAAAAAAGGAAAAGTGGGCATAAATTAGAAGCAGCAATAACATTGAAAGTGCATCTCATTCATCACTGACTTAAGCTACCAATGTGAAAGTGATCACAAATTTGATGTAGCATTTTTATATGAGGAAATTACATCATAGCATAGTGTGTGTGTTTTAAAATTACTTCAACTAGTGACTTTTTATCTAATATTTTTTTGTTCTGCTTATTTTAATAAACAGTATTATTTAATAAGTTATTTAGTATCTTAGGTAGATGTGGATGCTTTCAAAAGATTATAGTTATTGATTTACTGCTCTGGCTGATTCCATCTGGGGCAGGCTTTTAACACAGGTTGTGAAATTCTGTATGTGTCCAGAAGTACGTCTCACTGACCTAGAGTTATTGCCCTTTTTTTTTTTTTTAAGATTTTATTTATTCATTTGAGAGGGAGAGGCAGAGACAGAGCACAAGCAGGGGGAGAGGCAAAGGGAGAGGGAGAAGCAGGCTCTGCACTGAGCAGGGAGCCGGACATGGGGCTTGATCGCAGGACCTGGGCATCATGACCTGAGCCACCCAGGCGCCCTGATTACCCTATTCTTAAAACTTGGAGTAGTTAGTCTCTACTTTGGCTGGTATTTGGGGGTGATCCTAAGCCTCTCATAAGGAAAGGCCTCTTTTATAATTCTGCCCAAGAGTGTGACTGGATTACCTTTGAGGTCACTTTCTAGAGGAACACCATTTATATTCAATATATTATATTTAGTAATTCTCTGGCTACCATTTGGTTAGTTTTCATAGAGAATAGAGGGAAATTTTAATGTATTGGCTTTCCTTTTATAAATTAACTTCTTTGGGCTAATGTATATCCATTTAAAGTAAACTTTTAAAGGGTCAGAAAGTAAATATTTTAGGCTTTGTGGGCCATCTAGCCTGTCTCGAAACTATTCAACTCTACTTCCATAGTATAAAAGCAGACATAGATAATACATAAAATAATGGGTGTGGACATGTTCCAATAAAACTTTATTTAGAAAAATAGGCAGCCTGTCCATGCTGTGGTTTACCAAATTCCGATAGAAAGCACCACCGTTGATCGTAAATTTTGTATAGCTCACAATGTTCTTCAGGAGCAAAATTCCACAGGCTTCTCGTCTATGTAGTTATTTGGTGTGCTATTTTAAGGATTTTTCACTGGTTTTTGAGCCCCTCTGGGCCTTTCTCTCAACTGGATGGTATGGTAATTTAGTAATATTAGGTAATATTGAGGCCCTTTCTTTTGAGTAGCAGAACAATGGCCAATGGGGGAAATGAGTGGAGAGGGACAACGTCCACCTTGTGAGGTGTCTTCAGATTCTCTCTTGGGGTTACTTCACAGTGCTCCGCAGTCGCTTCCGGAAGCAGCGGCCTCAGCACATTCCAGCAGTGCCGAGTCAGAGAGCACCAGTGACTCAGACAGCTCCTCGGACTCGGAGAGCGAGAGCAGCTCAAGTGACAGCGAAGAGAATGAACCCCTAGAAACTCCAGCTCCTGAGGTACCGTGTCCCCTCCAGGAGGCAGAGAGGCGAGCTAAGATGGCAGCGCTCTGTCTTTTGGGGCTAGAGTCGGCTGTGGGCCAGCGTTGACCCTGGCCCGAGTGGTTCTGTCCCGTGGGGCAGCTCTTTTCCTGCCCCCGGGCTGTGTAGAGCCAGCCATTTCTGTTTACTTCTTACCATACATTCAGCCCTAGAGGTTTCGGTGAGCAGTCTTCTGATAAGTTCTTCTCTGTTGCCGCTGGTGTTGTTTGGAAGAGCAACTCACTAAGAATGTTTGCACACCATTTTCTTTTCCCTTCTGTTGAAAAAGAAAACTCATTTTTTAGTAGGCTCCTGTTTTAATCTTAATGAAAATTCTTTCTGAAATTTCAGGAATGCATGAATTAAGGAAATCAAAAGGAGACAGCCCAATTTAGCAAAGGGCAGGAATGTGAACTAGAAATAAGTCATCAGAGGTTCTATTTTTGAATCACTAAAAGCCATGCATTAAATTGATGGCGAAGTGGTTTTGCCAGGGTTGTGTTTCTTGCTCCCTTTGTTACATGTAAAACAGGGATAATTGTGTTTGCCTGTCACCCACCCTTGGGACATCGATGTTGTAAAATAAACCGATGAGATGGCAAATCGCAAGCACTAAGTTTATCTGGAGGATTTATGCTATTTTTTACTGGATCGTTGAGCACAAGAAGTTTAATGACAACAATCAGGGCTGCCAGATTCCCTCAAAACTTGGAGTAGCAATGTAAAAATTAGGCTGGGGAAGACTACTTGGTGAAAAGGGAAGAAAGACATTCTTGGTGAATTAGACCAGCTTATATAGTGAAAATTACTCTGCATGTTTTAGATGGGAATCCTGGGAAATGAGCCTTTCTGATTAAGAAAGCGTTAAAGTTCCCAGTATTTGTCTCTGCCATTTAGCAACCAAGGCAGTTCCACGAGAGCATTAACCGAATGCATCTGGAGGACCTGCAGTGGGCCTTAACAGCCGTGGCCGAGGGCAAGGGAGGCTGGAAAAATAACCGAGTGTCATTTTTTTGTTAGATATGAATTTATGTCTGGCACAGAGTAAGTGCTCAATAAATATTTTCTGGAGTGAATACACATGAATCAGCATTAACTGCACTTAAAATGCCTTTCAGATTTTGGAAACTGCTCTGTGTATTTCTGGGGGCTGTTTCCTTGTGTGATACTAATTACTATTGAAATCATTTTTCTGTGCCTCAGGAAAAAAGATATTGAATATGCTCTGCAGACAAATTGTGTGATTGTTCCCTGTTTATAAGATCTTTGCTTTATGTCTCACCTTATTCAATTAGAGAAATCTGCATGCTTATTCGGTTACTAAGATAAGAGAATCGGATTAAATAATAAAATTCCCTTCAAATAAAATGGAAATGGTACAGATTTGGCTGAATAATTGAAACTTGGAAGAAAAATTTAATCTGGTGTTTGTATTAATGAAACCATTAGATCTTATTGCCCAGAAGGTTACTGGAGTAGATGTAGAGACTCTTAGTTGAAAAAGAAATGTTCCCATTCTACACTTTATTTTTTTTAAAGCACCTTACCAAATAGGCTCATATTTGTACCTTTGTGTTGATGAGCAAATCTATCTAGACTTGGGCATAGTTTGTATGTCATGTCCTGACACTTGACTTCACCAGAAATATTTTGTCTGGGTCTAGATTTTAAACCTTTAATTTTTCCCACTGTATTTAACTACCTTCTCTCCCTCGATACCTGCCTTATTGTAAATCTCCTGTGTGAGAGTAACATGAATTCCACAATAAGCCACAGTTACTAGTTTTAACCTTTTTTAAATCTATTTTTAGATTTTTTTAGAGAATTTTGCTTTTTATGGCTCCATTTTAAGGTCATTTGACAAAGTAGGCCAGTGATCCTAAGAGATCTGAAATGTCCTATGCCTGTCAATGGGTGGGCGGCGAACTTGGGGGAAAGACTCTTTCAGTGTCTGCTTTATGGTGTGAATCAAAATGTAAATCTCAGCTTTTCAAAATATGTAGGACAAGTCATCTTTTTCCTGCTTCGGTTCAGAAAAAATGCTTCTATTCTCAGTTATCCAAGGATCTCCTTACTTTTCTAATCTCTTCATTGTCCTTTTTTTTTTTCCCTATAGTAAACTACCTTTGTTGGTTTGCCTCTTAGACACTTGGTACTTTTTCATGAATTATCTGAGTTAGCTCTCTGCCAACCCTGTGAGGTTGAGCTGTCTTTTCACCTGTAAAAAGTTAGCAACACCAAGATTCCGGCCCTTGGCCATCTAACTCTGAAGCCTTTTTTCCCTATGACACTATGCCTCTCTCTCACACTTCTCTCCTCTTCCTTTTCCTTTCATTTTAGGACTCCTACTCGTAATGACGATGATTTTACTTTAAAAAAAAAAAAAAAGGCATATTTGTGCATAGCTCAGAACTTTTTATTCAATATCACAATTCACCTTAAAATACACGAACTTCTGACAATGTGAGGAGTTGTACGTAAAGGGACGTGCAGTCAGACATTTCTGAAAACACCTAATGAAGACCAGTCTGGTATTTTTTCATGCCCGGTGTGCTGTGTTTGGGTTGCACCAGCCCTGGGAGGCTGGCGATGGGCCGCGAGGAAAGGCAGGGCAAGAAAGCAGAGTCCAAACCTTGATCCTACCTAGCACTTAGACTTAAAATTCATTGTGAAATCAATTTGAGTCAATCCCTTATGTTAAAGTTTTCCCCATCCCAACACCCAAATATCTGACCTTAGAAGAATTCTATACATTTTCTGTCTTTATAGCAGGTCTGTAGAAAGGACTGGCCCTACCCTTTCTTCTTGCCTGGGCACATAAACTCAATTTTACCCTGCAATTGGGCCATATGCCTCCCTTCTAGACATTTTTAGGACCACAGTGGAAGAAAATGTGTTTTATTTCTGTAATCAGGACATTCCTTTAGTAGGACATTCCTACTAAATGTATCTTATACTGCCCTGTTTTGGGGTGGGGGGAGAGCAGATGTTATTTATACCAGGAATGACTTTCCTTTTTGGTTCATGAATAAATACTCTTCTATAGAGCATGTCAGTGATTCAAATGGGGCTATAAACTTAGCCCTGTTGAGAGGTCCATACCCGTCCCAAAGAAGAGTTTGAAGGGTTTGGTTCCTAAGGTGAGTGGCAAGTGATATATCCTAATGCCTGGTCCCCAGTGAGCCACCTGGATTACCACACCCTAAAGTGTTTGCAGGAAATATCGTTTGACAAGTAGGTATTGGGTGCTGATCTTTTCTCCACCCTTAACTGTCCTCCTGTCTTGTTCGAATATGGAATTCAGTTTGAGATTTCCTGTGGCAAAATAAATGCCTGGCACATTAGAGTAGTTTCCTTCTTCCCTCCGCCCTGCTCTGAAATTCAAATGAGAGCCTAGATGTAGAGTTGATATTGACGGAGATCTATTTTATTAAGCAGCAATAAAAGGGTAGGCAGAAAAAACAGTTCTGCAGCCCTCTTCATGGCCGAAGTTTGGTCCTACCTGGTTCCTTAAAGTTCCTCTTCTGCTGTAATACACCAAGCCCAAACTACCTACCTGATCATTTTATTACCTAACTTTTTCCTGGCTCCAGACTCTTACATTATATCCACATGTCTTGATGTGTTGTTGTGTTTTTAAAGAGTTGAATTATTTGGAACGTTCCACTCGGGAAAATTGTTAGCAATCTTTCCCTGTAAAATACCATCCACCTACTGGAGCAATCTCCTTATCCATCATCTAACCAGTTAAATCCCATGTGGACTATCTTTCAGTTAACTTCCTCGTGCACTGTTTGTGATTTAGTCATTCATACAAACCACCCATCAGAATGAATGGATCTTAAAAACATGTAGCATGTCGGTGATGTAATGCCCTTTCAAAAGGTGTGATCATTGCTTACTCTGTTACACACAGATGTTTCCATATGGCATAAGATGTATAGGTACAGTAATATGCTTAAGTAAATACCTCATGTACACCACTATATGCAAGACATAATAGTGGAACTTGGAGATACAAATGTCATTGGGTCTTCTGTTAATAATCTACTTGGAGAGACATGTTGGGATACAGAAGTCAGGAACTTCTGTTTGTTCGTCAGATCAGATGTACATATAAACAGTCTAATCTCACTGCTTTTAATTGTGTGCTCTGGAGCCTCCCTATGTTTCTTAGAAAAATAGATGCTATTTCAGATAAGATTGTCTGTAAGAAGAGACTTAATGTTTGATTTTTAAAGAATTCAAGTGGGACTAAATTTAGGGACCAATTTAATTGGTTAATGTGACGTCACTTGTTCTTTTACCAAGGTGCAAAACTTGAAAATCAGGCTGTAATCCATGATATACTGCAAACCTTGTCATGTATAAATGTTTAATGTTTTTAAGTAAATAGATGAAGTCAAGTCTTGAGGAAAGTTATTTTCAATTGAAAAGTATGTCAAAAAACAGGATAAAGCCTATAGGTAATCACTAAGAATTAGTTTATTCATTAGCCTTCTGAAAATCCTTTTGATAAAACGGTTCTGTTATTTCTTCGTTTCTCCCTTCATTCTCGGATAGTTTGCGAGCCAAAATGTGTCAGTTCTGTCTAAATTACACTGTAATTACCATTAGGACAAAATACTTAATATTACAAAGATTTTTTCTCAGCAGTGGTTAGTGGTCGGTATCTCATGGTCTATCAGTAGTCAATATCTGCTACAGCAAAAATTCCTGTAGCACAAACAGATTGGAAGATTGTGTTAAGAGTTAATTATTAAGAGACTCTGACCTGTAATTAGAGAAGGATAAAAAGGACTCGAATTCTTAGGTTTTGGAATGATTGCATCTCCCTGGGAGAGTCCTGTACAATTGGTTGACTAACACAGAAGAACTTACCATCCTTGGTCAGTTCACATTTTTCTCTTGTCCTTTGTTTTTAGCCTGAGCCTCCTACAACAAACAAATGGCAGCTGGACAACTGGCTAACCAAAGTCAACCAGCCGGCAGCACCCCCGGAGGCGCAGGGGAGTGCAGAGCCCCTGCCTCGGCCCCCCGACAGTAAGGGCAAGGGTGGGGGCGACAGCGGCGGCCCCACCCCTGGTCACGAGCGCTCGGAATCCAAAGATCCTCCCCTCAAAAGCTCCAGCAAAGCCCCTCGGGGCTCCTCTGAAGGCCCCCACGCCGGCAAGAGAAGCTGCCAGAAGTCCCCCGCGCAACAGGAACCCCCGCCGAGGCAGACCGTCGGGACCAAACAGCCCAAGAAGCCCGTCAAGGCCTCGGCCCAGGCGGACTCGCGGGCCGGCCTGCAGGTGGAAAGTGAGCCAGGACCCCCTCCGTACGGCTCCAAAGACCAGCCTTCCAAAGACAAGCCCAAGGTGAAGACGAAAGGGAGGCCCCGTGCCGGAGACAGCAGAGAGCCCAAGCCCGCGGCGCCTAGCCCCAGCGAGCGGAAGAAGCACAGGAGCGCGCCGCTGGCCCCCTCAACGGCGCTCTCGGGCCCGGAGCCCACGAAGGACGATGCGGGGGCCAGGAGCCCCGAGCACTTTGCCCTGGTTCCCCTGACCCAGAGCCAGGGCCCACCCCACGGCGGCGGCGGCAGGACTAGTGGCTGCCGGCGCGCTGTGGTCGTCCAGGAGGACCGCAGGAAGGACAAGCTCCCGGGGCCCGCGAGAGACCCCAAGCTGCTGTCCCCGCTCAGGGACACTCCTCCCCCTCCAATCTTGATGGTGAAGATAACCCTGGACCTTCTTTCCCGGATACCCCAGCTTCCTGGCAAGGGGGGCCGTCCGAGGAAAGCCGAGGACAAGCAGCCCCCCGCAGGGAAGAAGCTCGATTCGGAGAAGAGGGGCTCTGACAATTCAAGCAAGTTGGCTAAAAAAAGAAAGGTGAGTGAAGGGGGCCTGGCCTCCCTCTGCAGTGTGGATTGTACGTGCTGTTGGCCTGGGGCTGGCTTTGACCCTTGGATTGTCTTAGAAGAGGCAGGAAATCTTTGCTCTGATGTGATGTAGCCTTTGCTCCTGTACCAGAGTGACCCTGTCATTGTGGACCAGCATGCTTCCCACTCTGCCCCCGGGCATTGGCATATGCTAGATCCTGCAGCAGTCCTCCTAGTTGGAGAAAAGATGAGGCAGATGTGGAAAAGGATATCTTGTTATAGGATAATGTAGCATTTCGGGGTATGCTTTTATTTTTTCTGATAACATTGGTATTTACCACTCTACCCATTACTAAGTTTTGCCCTAGAAATTAATATCTTACATGAACTGAAAATTTTTTTTTTTAAAGATTTTGTTTATTTATTTGAGAGAGAAAGAATGAGAGCATGAGAGGGGCGAGGGTCAGAGGGAGAAGCAGACTCCGATGCAGGACTCGATCCCAGGATTCCAGGATCATGACCTGAGCCGAAGGCAGTCGCTTAACCAACTGAGCCACCCAGGCGCCCTGAACTAAAATGTTAATAAGTATTCTGAATTACTGAAAGAACTGCTATATGCTAAATTTTACTACTGTGGTAGGATCCTTTTTAATACCGATACTACATCTGTATTTTAACTCATGGCTGCCTGACACCTCATTAATTTGAAACTACCAGATTTAGAATTTGTGACCTCTATTAAAGACTTTTATTAGTAAACAGAACATTATAAAAAAAGTTATAGAGCTGTTAAACTCATGGTTAGGATTCCTTGTTGAGTAATACTGGACTGATAATGGTATATTGTGCGGTATTGAAAATCTGTCATTTTAGTTATCACGATTTTTAGAAATTTCATTTAAGGAACGAACATAGTGGGAAAAGAACAACATTCATGGGGCACCTGGGTGGCTCAGTTGGTTAAGTGTCTGCCTTCGGCTCAGGTCATGATCCCAGGGTCCTGGGATTGAGTTCCAGATCGGGCTCCTTGCTCAGCAGGGAGTCTGCTTCCCCCTCTCCCACTCCCCCTGCTTGTGCTCTCTCTCTCTCTGCCAAATAAATAAATAAAATCTTTTAAAAAACCCAAACAAACACACATTTATACACTACTTAAGATCCTGAGTTAACTTGGACATACCACTGTTTTGGACAGTCTCCTTCCTTCCTAGATTCTGAATCACTGAGCTCCTGATATACTTTTTGCTGATGCTTCATGGTAAAAGATAAGTGAATTTTTCCCCCAGTGGCATTCCAACCTAATCTGTTCAAGATTCAGAGTGAAAGGCACAAGAAGGACCAAGTCTTTCCTGCTGACAAGGGATAAAAATTTTTAACACTCTTATAAGCACACAAAAAACTTCTTCCTCAGTCGTGGAAGTTGAGCTAAGAATAACAAAGGACAAAAAGATCATGAAGCCTGTTGTCCTTTCTGTGATTTGACCAATTACTCTAGCAGGTTAAAAATACAACATGACTTTATCAAATAGCAAAGGGCGACTGTTTTCTTCAGAAGCTTGTTGAATGAGATGTGAGGGTGTGTATTACCACCATAACCGCAGCCGGCAGCTCAAGCGGGTGGGATCCAGTCCTCATTGGTGGTGCTGTTTCAGCTAGAAGAGGGCATATTCCCATGTCAGATAACTTTTAAGACTGTGTGTGTGTTAAAAGCGTAAAACTTCATGGATGAAATTGTGATGGGCCCGGCTAAGAAAAAGTTTCCTGCATCTCATATCCCCAAGAAAGTTTCAAAAAATACACTCCTTGGGGGCACCTCTGACTGTTGGTTTCAGCTTAGGTCTTGAACTCATGGGTGTTGGGATCAAGCCCTTCATCAGACTCCATGCTCAGCGGGGAGTCGGCTTGAAGATTCTCTACCTCTGCACCTCCCCCCATTTGCTCTTTCTTGCTCTCTCTGTCTCTCTAAAATAAACAAATCTTTAAAAAAAAATTGCAGTCCTTTACCTCTCCTTCCTCCTGGGAAATCTTTTTATCACTTATCCCCCAGCTGTCATGATCTTGTCTAGTCTCTAGTGAACCTTCTGCATTAGCTGGAGTGGGGAGAAGTATTCACTTCTAAAATACTTACTAACCAGGTGGGAATGTTAGAAATTGGAGGCTCCCCAGACAGTTCTCATCCCAGTCCATACCCCAGTGCAAATCCAGAAGCAATTGACTATAACTCTGAAATGGGAAACTCCGCTCTCCCTGTTGAGTATGTGAGCCGTGCACTCTAAAAAGCCGTTCCCAGCCCTTGGCCTTGCTCCACTAGGGCAGCTCATTTAGTTCTCTGTCTAGAGGATGGAGAAATAATGACCCCCTCAGCTGAGTCAGATACATGCTTTCTTGAATGCTTTGGCAGGCAGCAGAGAGATCTGCCCCTGGGAACAGTTTGCCTCTCTGCTGTGACACCGACAGGATCAGGGTCCAAACCAGTGGTTCCAGACCTGGCTACACGTGATGGTCACCCTAGGAGCCTTTATGGCCGATGGCAGGGTTTGCACCCTCTTCCTTCCCCGTCTCCATTGATGTTTTCTAAATCCTGATGTCTAGCGGAGCTGGGAACCGCTGGAACAGAGCCATATCACAGGGCTGAGATTGTACAAAGCTAGTTCTTTGGATCGAGATGTTCCTCCAGTGTGCTCGGTTTTGACATCATGGATCTAGGCAACGAGGAATTCCTTGCCTAAAGTATGTCACTAGTTAGAAGCTGTCAGATAAGTCAATTTAAAAGTAATCCAACTGTATACTTATTTCATGATCAGCGAATCCTGGTCTTTTGGTTTTATTCCTGCTGGGTTCCAGGTACTATGAATATTGATCATATGAACCTGAGCTCCTTCCCAGTGTGGGCAGGCTCCCCCCTTTCCTGTTGGGACCCTGACTCCCACTGTTCGGCCTTTCCCACAGAGCAGCTGCTTTCCCCCAGCGTGTGCACCTGGGCCCCAAGGCAGGCAAGGCTGGTCTCTGTTCAAGCCTGAGCAGTTTTCCACAAATTTGGATGGTGAAGATTTGTTCATTGCTTTCATTTTCAGTGTGAACACTAGAAAAAAAAAAGCTCTCTGAGCAGTTGAAGAATGTGCCTGATCCTTCGCATTAGTGAAATTTTGTTCTTCTATATTTTCTTTTTTAATTTTTCAGTAGACTCCATGCCCAACATGGGGCTCAAACTCACCACCCTGAGATTGAGTCGCATGCTCTACTGACCGAGCCGGGCAGGCGCCCCTGAACTTTAGTTTTTCATTTAAATTCTGTCTGTTCCTTTTGTGGTGCAAAATTTAGCAAATATTTTCAGAGGGTTAACAGATCCTTGAAGCCATTTTAGACTTAAAAGCAGGAGAGGATCATCCTAAGGACGAAATGGTGGATGACAGCAGTTCTGCTGCAGTTGTCAGATGTGGCCCCTGGAGAAAAGTATTTACTACCTTAAAGGACTGGGCAGGGGGCAGTTCATGATGAAAAATGGAGAAAACTGTGGGAGAAAATAGGCATGACTTGACGTAGTACTCCCTACAGAAACTACAAATTTCATCATTTAGCTTACGGTTTAGAATTTAAAATACAACTTGTATTTTCATTTATATAATTTGCAAACCAAGCTTATGTTTTCCAGGCTAGGAAGACATGGAAGTCGAGAAGTACAATAGAATAAATACAGTCAGTTGAGCACAATTGAGAGTGTTCTAACAACACACCTAACTTGCATAGCGCTCTGTGTGTGAGTTAAGTGTTCTAGACACTTTTGTAGGTAATAGCTCTTTTTTTTTTTTTTTTTTAAAGAAGATTTTATTTACTTATTTGACGGGGAAAGAGAGCACAAGCAGGGGGAGCGGGAGGCAGAGGGAGAGGGAGAAGCAGGCTTCCTGCAGAGCAAGGAGACTGACGTGGGACTTGATCCCAGGACCCTGGGATCATGACTTGAGCCGAAGGCAGATGCTTAACTGTCTGAGCCACCCAGACGTCCCTATAATATCTCATTTAGTTTCAATCATTGTATAGATCGCCTCTCAAATAAAGTGCCAGACTGTCCTGACCATTATGTAGACAAATATATGAACAAGGAGGTATATTCATTCAAGTCTCCCTTTTCATTTTTCTGAACAGTTGCTTCACTGACCAAGAAACTTTGGCATTTTTGGAAATTACATTTCAGAACTATCATTTATGTCAGTTTTGGGGAATGGGAACAGGAAGTTATGGGATGTGGTGGGAAAGTGTGCATTTTTATTGCTTGCGGATGGTTGGTTCAGTCCCTTCTATCCAAGATCTGACTGTCTTTCCTTGGATTGTTTATTCAGACCAACATTTCCAGTTAGTCTTCTTCAAAATCAAGGGTTTGAAAGTCATCCCTTATAGTTTCCTAAAGCCACTGATGTCTGATTTCTTCATGCCTTGTTAATTGCCCTAAGAAGAGCATCATAACCGAATAAGCATGGTTGCCAAGGCTGTTTTAAACCATTCTTATGCCTGTGTATTTCCTCACCAAGAAGAAGGGGGGACAGTGGGTTAATTTTCCTTTTCTGTAGTACTTATCCCAGTGACTGTAATCTGTCTTCTCAGTAAGGCCCCGCCCTCGTTCTTGGTACTGATTGGACCTGGTGTCCACTGTGTCATCATCATCTTAGTGCACCTCTTGCAGAGGCAAATCCCGAATTTCCCAGAAGGCTGCTTCTCCACTTTTCCTGTCCCCAGGTGCTACCAAGCCCACTTGCTTCCCGGAGGGAGGTGACGGTCTTACAGTTTGAGTGCCAAGACCCTACGGGTTACTTGCTCAGCTGCTTCCTTTTCTAGAGGTGATCCAGGAGGGCTCTGACATCTCTTGGGTGCTTAGCAGAAGTAGTTCTGGAGCTCATGCTGACTCCTCCCAGTCCAATGATGTTCTTCTCTTTCATACCTGATGGTTGGTTGGTTGGTTGGTTTTGGTTTTGGTTTTTTTGGTACCCAGGTGTCTGGTTGGGGGCATTATTGGAGAGAGGCACAAGGTCACAGTTGAAGATCAGTGTATTGACTCTGACAGAGTGCCATCCTGGCTCAGTCCCTCTGTTGTCCCCATTCCTGCCACTCCAGTGTGCTGCGTTCTCACCCCCACCTACCCTTCTATGTCCGTTTCCTTTTCAGATGCTCCTTGGCTCTGTCATAGCTAAGCTCCTGGTAGAAACTCTGTGGCCTAAAATGAGTGTCCGTTTTGGAAAAGCTGTCTTCATTTTCCCTTTGCTACCTGTAGGTTCTTAGATAGTGAGCCAGATGCTGGGGCAGGCAGGAGGCTGCCCTGAAGGTGTTCTCCTTCAGAAACCAACTTGGCCCAGCACAGCCCCCCTCTTCCTTTTATGGTCTTCGTACTTGCCCTCTGCTGTACTCTGGAGAGGGTGTGGCATCTGGCAGGTAATCCCTGGCCTCCTGACCCAACAGGTTAAGAAAAGCAAACAAGTTAGTTAAGAACCAGTCATCAGCCAGCAGCCTCCTTTTGTTGTTGATGCAGGCCCTGTTGAGATGCTTATCCTTTTGGAAAAAGGGAACTTCCAAAGCCCAGAGCTTACACGGGGTTCCATGTAACAGGGCTTGATCTGTGGTTAAGCCACAGGCGCAGGAGACTTCTTTTTCCTCTTGAAGAGTATATCACTCTTCTCTCATTTTCAAATGGCTGCTTGTCCCAGAAAAATCTGAAGAACTCCTTGCCTCCTGCTTTTCGGTCTTGGAATTCAAGACTGCATTTCCTGCCACTCAGTACTGCTTGGTGCCCTCTTTAATGGCCCTTTCCTAAATCCAGCCACTTAGAGTTGTAGCACCGTCCTGCTTCCGGGGGCCTCAGCTGTGCCCCTCAGCCTCTCAACTTACTTTCTGTGCCACTTGACAAATACTCTGGGGAAGCCTCTGTGATTGTTCCAGACAGAAGATGACAGGGTTTCAAGTGCATAGTGTACAGAAACACTGACCTCAAGCCCACAGACTTGAACTCAGTCAAGCGAGGACAGTCACCAGAAGGGGAATGTTGCTTCATTGGGTTTAATGGCTTACTTTCTACCAACTTACAGAATATGATCAGTTTGTCAGTGCGGCCTATCAGTGTCATGAGCATATTACTCCAGTAAGTGCCAACACAGGTGTGAAATGTTAGTGTCAGCGTTTATGTTTGGTGATTTCTTGGGGTTTTCTGGCTGTTCTCTTGAGTCACCAATTGGCACAAGCCAGGGGTATGTCCAGTTCGTGAGGGTTGCCTCACTGTGAGTCTTATTTTCATGTGTGGTGTATAACGTCTGCCACTTTGGTTTATCGTCCTAACCAGCATGTCCTAAGCAGTGTGAAGATAGACAAACAAAAATGAACTCTTATTCCACCTCTGGGGTTTGGTGGTTTTTTGTTTTGTTTTGTTTTAAGGAAGTAACCTTGTGGACAGTTGATGTCTAGTTTTCCTATGGGGACTTATCTATGTGTCATTAATTGCCTAGAAACACTTTCCACTGGAAAAAGTATATATTGCTATCTACCACATGTACAAGTTAATATCTGTCTGGATATTTCAGCAAATTCAGTGACTTTGCCCAGAGAGAAATCTCCCATCATCTCTCACTGCTTGCTAAACCAACTTTCCAGCCCTTAATCTAAGATGGAGGAGAATTCACTGGGCAGAGACTCATGGGCACAGTAGGTTCTTAACTGACAAGGAGAATAGCAGGGTTCTATTTTAACCCAGTCATTTCCAGTTTACTCTCTCTTCTCTGCCAGCGTTGACGGTCCCTCAAGGGTCGCCATTACGAATTGTTGGATGGGGATCTGTGTGCCCTGCGGAACCCCAGGAGGCTTCTCCTGGCATGTGCCAGCGCCTTTCATTTCTTCTGAATTGTGCTCCAGAATTCTGCTGCTGGCCAATGACATCCATGCTGAGGCCACAAGAGAAACAGCTGTGTCAAATTCCCTGTCTTCCTTCAGCTGTGCCTTTAAGATGTGCCTGTTTGTTTACGTCACATTATCTTACTAGGGTCCCCCAGGGTGCTTTTTCTGTAGTCTTCTGTAATAAATGGTTATATTTCTGAGCAACTGGTTTGTTTTTATCTTATCTAACCGGTACATTTTATTTTTTAAATTTTACTTATTTTGTTAGAGGAGGGGGAGGGGCAGAGGGGGAGAGAGAGAATCTTGAGCAGACTCCTGGCTCAGCACAGAGCCCGACAGGGGCTCGATCCTGCAGCCCCAAGATCATGACCTGAGCCAAAATGAAGAGTCAGACACGTAAACGACTGAGCCACCCAGTCACCCCTAACCTGTACATTTTATAATTCCTCTTTGAATTGGCTAATTGGAAGTTCAGAGCCTAATTTGCAGAGTGGCTCTAGAAAACTGTAGTACAATACTGTCCACTAGGAATACAATGTAAACCATATATGTGATTTTAAATTTTCTAGTAGCCACATTAAAAACTATAAAAAGGCAAGAAACCAGTGAAAATAATTTTTAAATTTTTATTTAATCCAGTATATCTAAAACATCACCACTTCAACATTTTATCAATGTAAATGTAAGTATGTTTCCCATTTTTGCACTAAGTCTTTGAACTCTGTCACTTTGGACCAGCCATGTCGGAGTTCTGTCTGGATGCTGTCGGGGGGCCGTCAGGCTTGTGCCGGCCATGCAGAATGAGCCTCGAAGAGGGTAGAAGCCTTCCCTTGGATTCCATTTCTCTTCTCCCCATATTTTCCCTTCTTCATATTCTCACTTGCGCACACACCAAGTGATTAGAAACCTGTACCTTTATAAGCCACCTTGAATGATCCGTTTTGAAACAAGAGAGAAAGTGTTTTTCCAGAGGAGAGCTGAAGGGCTGAATGGCCGCGCACACTCAGGTGCATGGGTTTGCAGAATGTCTGGTGGAGGAGGGGCACGTGTTTCCTATTCCCCTTCCTTTGAGCGGGGTCAAGCTGCTTATTCATGTCTGGGCAGAGCTTGAGCCTGCCCGTCTGAATTTATTCATTTTTTCTTGGAGAAATTCAGGGAATGAGGGAGAGACCGGTGGTGAAAGTTGGGGCCTCCCACAATCAGTTAATTCGAAGAATGTTTTTTTTTTCTCTGAGGCTTTAAGAGAGGATTTCAGGTTTTTTAGGGATTGTCCTAGATTGACTGGGTAGTGTCCCAGATTTCTCTCTTGGTGAACTGACAGTTGGAGGAGTTTAGTTCTAAATGTGCATCAGAATTAATTGAACAACTCCCACCAATCACTTTATTGTCACTTGCTGTTCTTCCCATGGAGCGGTTATGTGAACTCAGACCAGTGGGAAGGAGGCCGCCGTGAAGTCACTGAGTCCATGTGAGACTTGCTGTAAACTTGGTCTGTATGTTGACAAGGGAAAAAGACTTTTGCCATGAAGAATTCTTTGTTCTCTTAATCACTGCGTGTGTTTAGCGTGCGCTTTAGTTGGTATAAACAGATGTTTTTGAGTTATGTGACTATAGATTTAAATATCCCTTCTGTTCATATTCTTCCCTCATTAAAATTATACTTATCCTTCATTTTTTTTTTTTTTTAAATTTTATTTGTTTATTTGAGAGAGAGCACAAACAGAGAGAGAGGCAGAAGCAGACTCCCCGCCGAGCTGGGAGCCCGACATGGGGCTCGATCCCGGGACCTGGAGATCACGACCCAAGCTGAAGGCAGACACCCAACCATCTGAGCCACCCAGGCGCCCCTTATCCTTCATTTTTTTTTTTTTCAAATTTTTTGAAAAATAGAAACATGTGTCCCCGTATATGTATACAGAGCTATAAAGACAGTCTCTTAAAAAGAAAGGAAGAATGACAGTTGTGTCTGTGAAAGAGGAAAAAAAAAAGTTAGCTAGAATCCCAAAGCAACTATTCTTACTTTGTTGTATGTCTTTCTAGTCCTGCCTATAAGATAGAGACAGAGGGTTTTGTAACCCTGTTTCTTTCTCAACAATATACTTATTTTTCATTAGATGAAGAGTGAGCTTTAAGTACTCCACTCCTAATTTTATACAAAGAATAAATTAGTGGGCATAAGTGGATGGTCCTTTTGAAATAAAGGGGGATGGGGCGCCTGGGTGGCTCAGTTGGTTAAGCGACTGCCTTCGGCTCAGGTCAGGATCCTGGAGTCCGGGGATCGAGTCCCGCATCGGGCTCCCTGCTCGGCGAGGAGTCTGCTTCTCCCTCTGACCCTCCTCCCTCTCATGCTCTCTGTCTCTCATTCTCTCTCTCAAATAAATAAATAAAATCTTAAAAAAAAAAAAAGGGGGGGGATGTCTTTACTCATAAAATCATCCGTTGTTACTTGCTGTGAATATGCATGTTTTATTGATTCTTTTATATTTAGAAAAACGTCAGTGATGTGTTGAGGACTATTACTTACTCTTCCTGTTGTCAGCTATTACTTAGGCATAGAGATCCTCCCTTCCCTGGGTGGGAAGAATCCTCCTTCCTTGTTCGAAAATCTGTCTCAGTACAAACCTCATCAAATCTCCATTGTCTGCTTCCCTCCACCCCCCAAAACACACACAGTGTAGGTACTTAGAAGTTTGCTGTGTGTGTATAGATGTCGTCAAAAGTCCAATGACTCATTACCTTCGCTGTGAAGTCTTTTCTGTTTTGTCCGTACATGTGTGTTTGTAACAGTGTACTTTGTTATGCTACACTAATAGGCTGAAGCAGAGAAAGACCACGATAGCAAGAAGGCCAGACTGGAGAAAGAAACCAAGTCACAGTCATCATCTTCATCCTCCCACAAAGAATCTTCTAAAACGAAGTGAGTATAGAGATTAGCAATAGCCCTGAAAGGTGATTGAGTCTTCTTGGGTCTTGACAGGACAAAAACATTTTTATTCTGCAGTAGGAGTGGGATCAGCACACTGTTGGGCTCATTTTGATGATGCGCTAAGTTTGTTTCATGTTGCTTTTATCCATGAGGACCTTTTGGGAATTAACAATTCATTGAATCCAAACTTAGGTTTATCAAAGACATTTTAACTATGGAAAATTTCCTGAACATCTGGAAGTAATTTCTTTCTAAAAGAATTTTTCATAAAAACAAGAAAGGTGCTATTATTATCCCTACTTTGCGGAATTGGAAACCGAGAAAATGACTTGTCCATAGTCAAAAAAGTCATGACAGATGGAACTGGCACTTGAACCCTGGGAGCCTGGGTTCAGTGCTCTTTCTTCAGGCAATTCCTGGGAGTGTCCAGGCCTATTCACTAAGTCTCTTGCTTTGGAGAGAGGTGGCGGCGGGGGTTTCCAGGAAGGTGTGACTATAAACAATAACTATTATTCACTCTCTGGTTTATTCAAGAAATCGCTTCATACGATGACTTGGCAAAAGAAAGTGTATAGTGTCACTGGGTGGGAGCCAACAGAGATTTGGGAGGGAACGAGCGGGGAGGAAGGCGAGAGAAGGTGGCAGCTGGCTTGGCCGCTTGTCAGAGAAGGGTACAGGTTAGGGAGCAGCTAACAAGACTAACTTGGTTGGGGGAGTTGGGATCTGTGGCAGACTCTGGGAGCTTAGTGACAAACCACACAACTTAATCCATTATTCATAGATCGGACTAGATCTTTCAAAGTCCCTGAAATTGGGCCTTTCTACAAGAATGGACTTCATACTCTGTGATTTCTTAATTTTTGGTGTCGTCAGTCATTTTTTCTTACAACTAAACTACTAAAGTTATGTGGTTCGGGTTCTGTCTTAACTTAAAATTTTGCATGATGTTTCCTTCCAGAACATCCAGGCCCTCCTCTGAGCCCTCAAAGAAGGAAGCGCTTCCCCACCCACCTGCGTCTTCATCCTCCTCCTCCTCCTCCTCCTCCTCCTCCCAGAAGCCAGCCAAGCCTGCACAAAAGAGGCCAAGGCGGGAAGCCGACCCCTGCAGCCAGGACCCTCCCCAAAGTGCCAGTAGTAGCAAGGGCAACCACAAAGACTCTTCCGCCCCCAAGCACAGAAAAGTCGAGGGGAAGGGACCTGGAAGCAGTACAGAGCACAAAGTAAGTGGGGGGGCTGGAACTTACGGAGTGGAATCCATCAGTACATCTTTACTTTGAATTCCCAGATAAGAGAAGTTCCTAAGGATGGTATTTCAGAACTCTTCGTCACTGCTAATAGGGCAATAATGAGTTATTTGTGCTTAAGATTCTACCACGTTTTAGAGGGAGAGTAAAAAAGATGGTTAATATTCCATGTAAGTTTAGATGTCAGTTTATTCTTCCTTAACGAAGTGGTTAAGAGGTGAAAAGTCGGAATAGATTTTTGTGTTAATTTTCTATCCGGTGCTTTGCAGTAAAAAATGTTACCTAGCTTAGTTCTTGGTTCACATGTTTGGTATCAGATACTTTGGTTTTTGGTTGTAATGGAAAAAAAATAGCCACTTTTTCAAATAATAGTCAAATATACGGTCCTTTCTTCCTGCTAACCTGGGGGGGGTGTGTGTGTGTGTGGACTACAAGAAAATGATACGTTTAGCTTTGTTGAGTATCTGTGCCTTGGACATTCTTGTCTTACATCTTTTTGGTCCTCAGTACAATCAGTACCTACAGTTTCAGATGAATCTAGCTGGGAAAATGCTTAGCTAAGCTACATTGTACAGTACTTGATTTCCTCTTTTTTTGAACTACTATTTTGGGCTAATTTAGAGGGGTGTGGTACCTTTAGGTCAATGGTTTTAACTGTTGGAGTGTGACCTGTATGATGATTTTTTTAAAGGGATCTTCTGGAGATACTGCATATCCTTTTCTAGTGCCTTCTTTGCCAAATGGTAACTCGAAACCAGGGAAGCCTCCGGTGAAGCCTGACAGGTAAGACCCTGGGTCCTCCTGCTTCTGTTTTCCTCCTGTTTCCTCTGCCCCTTCTCTGCTTCCTCCCTCCTCCGCCCCGTCTCCTCCCAGCCTTTTTCACCCCCTTCGTCTTCACTCATCTTGTCCCAGTCTAGTAATTCCAGGTTCCTCTGACTCACTGCTGATATTTGCTTCTCTTTCAGACAACAAGCAGATTTTCACATGAAGGAGGCCAAAAAGTTGAAGCAAAAAGCAGAGTTAATGGTCAGTTTGGCTCTTTCATCCCTTTGGTAGAATGTTTTCTGATAAGATCTCTGTGGTCTCATTGAATTCCCTATCACTGAACGGG